CTGGCACTGGAAAACTCAGGAACAGGTTACTGAAGCAACGTGCTTTACCTTATGCCAAGGATATTTTTAAAACAAGCTCTTGTCTGGAATAATATAAGCAAGGAAGTGGAAAAAGTGGCCTGTAGTCTCTGGGCTTCTCTGCTCCAGGGACCCCTCCTCCTTGGTGGAGGGGCCAGTGTGCTTATGGGGGAAGGGGAGCCTGCTTTTAGCAGCAGCCTGAGCTTCCCCACTTCGCCAAGGGGCTCCCCTCCTTTTACAAAAGCGGGGCTTCCTAGGTGCCTCCTCCGAGGCCCTCTTACCACAGCTTCTTCCATGACAGACACCTTGGAAGGCTGCTCTTGCTCTCCGGTGCCCCCTATCCAATGGAAGCTTCTCACACAAGTCCTCCTAGAGGACACTGCTTATGATTCTGTGTACTTTGCTATCTGTGGGATTTCTCTGTCTCTAATTTCTCTAAAGTGTAGTTTGTGGCATTTTTTCTGTTGTCCTTTGGGCTCTGCCTGGTTTCAGCAGGATGGGGGCCAAGGTTCCTATCTAAATGGCCTCTATCTTCCCATCAGAACTTCAAGTTCTTTTTCCCTCTGCCCTCTTCCATTCAAATACACAAGAGAGCCAAACCCAGGATTTAAAAAATCTCTCTGCAAAGCTGCAGCAGGTGATCAGATCAAAACATGCACCTTCTAGATATATCAGAATAGGACAGAGGTCAAGAGTCACTAAGACCAGGCTCCTCTCACTAGGAGCAAATAGGGTCAGGACATGTGAGGTGATTTACCTGGGGCAAACAGAGCTAAGACAAGAGAACTCCTGCTCCTTCAAATTCACTGCACAGATTTCCTCAATAGGAGCAGTCTCAGTTTAGAAGTGGTGTTGAAAGACCCATTATCATGCATAACCCCCCAAAATGAGTGGTAATCAAATTACACCCAGCCAATTAATGAAATCCTGAGAAAATGCACTGTTAGGTAAATGGATGGATGGATGATGGAGGGATGGACAGACAGATGGACAGGAGTAAATGCCAAGGTGAGGAAGATGACGTCAGAGCATTATGGCTGCAGAGCAGTGCAGAGGAAGACTGAGACTCAGCCAACCTGATCTAAAAAAAATAAAATAAAATAATCCCTATTTTGGTTCTGTGGATTCAGGGACTCGATTTCCCCTTAACTGCACCACCAGCACAGTGTCCATCTGCAGCGCTCCTTCTCTGCTTTCCCTGCTTCTCCTACCTGTAACTGTCTACACCCTCCCGACCCCCAGGCCCACCTCGCAGGGAGATCACTGACACAGCACCCCCAGCCCTGCTGCATGCACCTCAGCAAACTCAGTGAAAACAGTAGCTGACATCTTCAAAGAAGCCCTTATTTTTCATTCCGAAGTTTGACAATGACTCTGAAAAACTGCTGCAAGGAAGTGCCAATTAAACAGCCAAACCTTCGTGAGTTTAAGTGCAACAGTAGTAAATTACAAGAGTACAATGCAGGGAAGACATGTCGGCAACCGAGAAAAGAATGCGTGCCTAGAAAACAACTGATCTCTCCAAGAGGGAATCACATTTACTTCTTGAGAAATCCAGGGTTTGTGTTAAGAGGCTTGTTTGATTTAAAATTGGGCTTCTTCTGCCACCAAGTGTTAGCACATGTTTCTAACCTATCAGGTTTTGCAATGTTAAATCACTGAAGCACAAGGTCATTCAATGTGAAAATAAATCAAAAGGATTCACTTTATACAAAGCATGGAACTGAACAAGTAGCAGACTTGGTGCCAAACAGCTGTATTCTAAGAAAACTGTACAATTTGAGCTTTAGTTAGCATTTCAAAGATACAGGAAGTCAGATTTTCTGAGTCTTTATTCATTTGATAAAAAAGTCATAAAACACGATAATCATCAGAATAGCTCTAAAATATATGACTTTTTTTCAATATTACCTGATGTAATCTACCTACTATAATTTCAGGAAACTAATAATATGCAAAACTGACACAGATAATGACTAAATGTCTCCCCACATTGAAAGATATGTATCAGTCAAAAAGAGCTTTACACTTCCCAGAATCTGTCCTTAGCCCTAGCTCAGTTCTCTAACTTGTAAACCCGAACACCAGGCTGTGGCAAAGGAAGTTGCACATTAGGAAATTCAACAGAGTTTCTATATTTTTAAAACCCTGAATATAATATATAGAATTTTTAGCTGCACCCCTGGACTTTAGGATACTTCTACTGTGTGCTATTACCTGCAATCAGGTGTTCTACCATAGGACAGCATCCTGAAACCCAACTCTTCTGCACCCCAACCATGAATACCAGTGGGAATTGTCAACACTAGCCTTTTACAACCACCCCCACTAGGGGGTGCTCTCTCAGCCTGCACCAACCATCTGTCCACATCTTTTATGTTAATGAGATGCTTTACCTTTCTCAACAGGCCGATTATGGCTCTAACATTGAATCTGCTCTTTTCTAAGTCAGCACAGATAGCAGCTTCTCAGAACATTAAAAATCAACAATGGCCAGATGATGGAGAGAAACCTCAACTGAGTTAACTGAGTTACTGCACCATGAAGATCTCATACCTCCTAGAAACAATGAGGGATGGACCATCTATCTCTCTGTCTCAGAATTTGCCTGTCTTAATCCTCAGCGTGTCTCTACTTAGCCCAGTCCTTTCAACTAATAATTATTCTATCTGTCCCAACAAAAGCACCACCAGCATCTTCGGAGTGCTCCAGTATCACACTGAAAATTATTCCAGCAGGTCAAATCAGAACATAAAGACTATGCAACTAGCACCAGCCTCTGAACAAAGCATCTTAAAGGGAGGTATTCAGCTCTTTTTTAGACATTGTCCCCATGCACCAACCCCCACACCAGAAGCTAAAGGAACACCTCCCCAGGCACTGGGAAGGCTTCTAGAGCTCAGAACCCAGCGGTTCCCCTTGTTGCTGGTCCTGAAGTAGGGAGCCTCTAACTCGCTCTTCCCCAATTCTGACCAGCTCAGCTCACCACACCCCAGCCCTCCTCAGAACCCAGCAAAACCCCAACTGCCCTGGAGGAGAATGCTCGGTACCCACATGGGATTTCCTACATTCGGAGGGATACTATAGTCTGCTCTGCTGCCTGACCTATCAGAGAAGTCATGGGCTAAAAGGACAATTGTGGCAACACAATATGGGCTTTTCAATGGACCCATAATTTACTGAAAACATTAAAGTAACCCCTCCAGAATTACTTTACACAGCCTTGGAATGTATATACATTTTATTTCTCTCCATGCTATTACAGGGTCCTTATAATGATCTACTCTAACAGCTGCTTAGATCATTGATATGCTTTACCATAAATGACTTAAAACATTCCTGAATTAATGCAGAAGATATTTCTAAACTTTCCCTGTTATTGATAAAGCTTAGTAAATATCTGTATGCATAAAAAGCTTCCTCCTGAAATAGCCTGTTCAGATACATCAGCAGCAAAAATATCTTAAAATAACATAACTTTTTTCATGCTTTTCAGCATCAGCTCCATAATTCACAGCTCCAAACTCCATTCCAGTACTACAAGGCACCACCTTTAGTAATCCACTACCACAAATTTATCCTAACAAACACTACTGTGATACACTGCAATTGGGACAGAGTGGGACCTACACAGTGGGGGAGACGATTCTGCGAAACCACTCAAGTGCAGTGGGAAATGTTGAAATACAAACTCCAGAGTAGCCAATGTTTTAAAGAGAAAGAAAGATGTTGAAATGGGGATATTACCTTCAGCACTGATTTGTCAGCCTGTGATTAAGTGTGAAACCTCGTGGAAGAGGGCAATCCATTTGGAAGCAAAACAAGAAAGATAACGAGCAAAGAAGTAAACTGTCAGTCTACAGGTTTTATGCATTGTTATTCCAGATTTCAAAATCTGTCATACAAACTATTATTACCAAACATACTCTGGAATGCTACCGAATACAGACACTAATGAATCTATGGCATCATTATAAAAACAAAAATGCAAGATTTCTTTTTGAGGGCAGCTCTAACAATGGTTTGTAGAAATCTCATAACCACAGGAGAGTGAATCACCTAAGCCCATGTTTTAAAGAACCAAAAAGACTTTGCAGGGATGGAGAGATCAGATGCAAAACATGCTACATTTAGAAAAAGTTCTACTCACTAATGAACACAACCTTCTACAGAGCTGCAAATGAGTCTTAACCACAACCCAGGGCCACGGAGAGCAGAGAGTGATGTTGATCTGTGCAGCCATCTCTGAAACTCTGCGAGAGCAGAGCAGGCCACTGGGTGTCTGAATGTGCCTGGGGAGGCCCCTGGGTGAAATCCAAAACCAGGAAGGGCATCCTTAGGATCCAGGAAGCAGGCACGTGAATCCAGAAGAAATCAAAAGTTGTTCCAATCTCAAAAAAAAGGAGGCAGTGGCCTAGAAAGGAACTCAGAGCCATGTGCCTTAATTTGCCACTGCCGGCCATTCCTTCCGGGGAAATCTCTCAGACACCTGGGCTGACAGGTGCCTCAGAGACACTCAGCCCTGCCCCTGTGCACGTTCCCCAAGCCCTCGATGGAGCCCATGGCTGGAGGAGCCAGGAGTCTTCTGCAGGCCTTGAAAGATCTCCTGGGGGAGAGACAGGCTTTGCCCAGGTGCAAGAACCCAGGGTTTATGAGCAGCACTGTGGACGGGGGCAGCAGAGCCAGCAGCGGCAGCAGCCCAGAGGAGAAGCAGCACAGAGAGCGCAGATCCGCCTCAAGGCTCCTGGGGAGGAGGCGTGGACATGGAAGTGGCAGCCCTGAATGATGACCCTAGTGTGCACCTTGTGAGGCACAGCTGTCACAGCCTCCGGAGAGGACCTGAGCATCCTCGGCATTCTTGGAAACTGGAACTAAATGAGCCCAGAACCCCAGAAATAACAGAGACAGGGAGAGCATCAAAACCACCATGAGGGTCTCCCATGCCCCACCACGCTGAAGGCTGACAGTAAAGGTGCACTCACATGCTTCCGGAGCCAGGGGGCTTTGGACAACTTCATGAAGGTCAAGTGAGGCTTAAAACCTCTGCTGTCTCCTGCCAGGACGCCTTTTTCTTGAAACGTTCTCTTTGCAATCTCTGAAAAACATCAAAAGAATGAAAAAAGGCCACTGTAACTATACAAGCATTTGGAACTGACAATTTCAATTCCAGAAAAATACAAAGCGATAGAATGATCAGGATCTAAAATCCTATATAGAAAATATTTTTTAAAACATTATCCTGAATTAGCACAGATTGGAAAAAACCATCAATAAAGAAATGACTGATAAATCAGCATACAGCTGAGCCGGGTGTGGTGGTGCATGCCTGTAATCCCAGCACTCGGAAGCTGAGGGGAGAGGATCGCAGAGTTTGAGACCAGCCTGGGCTACACAGTAAGTTCAAGGCCAGCCTGAACTATGAAGTGAGACCCGTCTCAAAAAACAAAACAAAACAAAACAAAACACTACACATACGGCTCTCAAAACTGACAACATGTTAGCTATTTGGTATTTCTGAGTACATAAGCACTATCTACAATACACAAGTAAAATTCTTTGAAAAATGTAAAACTCCTTTTCAAAGACTCTTATGAACAGCTGTTTGTTTGGGGTTACTGTTAGTGAAGTGATTTAAAGACAGCTCCAAAGTAAGACCATGCTCCTCGTTGGTGACTGAGAAGGAGCTGCGGCCCTATCTCCTCTGACCATGCTTTTCTCTGAAGTCCAGAGCTCTAGAACGTCTTAAAAATAAAAACAAAAATAAAAATAAACGTTTTTTAATGGACTACGAGAATCAAAAGTAGCCGCAAGTGCTGCTGGAATCTCAGCTCCACGTAAGGGTAACCAGAGGCTTGATGAAAACAGAACTCTGCATCTGTCCCTCCTGCCTGAACTCTTCTTACAGTGCAAGGTGTGCAGTGTGCAGGTGGGAACAGACAGGCGGGTGAACCTCACAAAAACCCCATGCCCTCCTTCCTAAGGAAATGAAGGGTTCGGCTAGAATGGCTGGTCCATGTAAAAATAATAAAATAATGAGAACAGAATTCACAGAGAACAGGGGAGTCTCGAAATGGAAATCCTGAAGCAAAAGAAAAACCCCCTGGCTGCTTGTTGCTTTTGATGACCCATCTTTCAGTGCGGTCAGTCACGTTTGGCAGGGTGGCCGCTGAGCACAGGGTGGCCTAAGAGCTGAGTTGTTGTTATTCTGTATTTTAGAAAATGGACACACGATGACTACAGTGTCAGTAGTTTACTCAAAAATCCTCCACTAGGTAATGAGTAGGATAGAATTTGAACCCAAATTTAACTAACTACGAAGTTCACACTGCCTCTGAACGTGAAGAATCCAAAAATCTTCTTTCTCCTGTATAAGAAATGTTCCTTAAACAAAAGCTAAAGGTAGCTGGATAAAAGGCTCGTATACCAGAGTGGAAACATAATCAACAAACACTACTGTGATCTCTCATTCAATCAACAAATATTAAGAATCCATTATATATCAGCTACGATTCTAGGTGGTAAAGAACAATGAACATGACAAATTCTCTGCCCTTGTAGAGCTTCCATCTACGCTGGGTGCCACAAACAAATACATAAAAATAAGGTCAAGAATTGACAGCCAAAAGGAAGAAAAATGAAACTGGGGAAAGGCTACAAAGTCACGTGGAAGGAAACCAGGCTGGTACTACAGGTAAGGGAGTATGAGAATCCCACTTGGAAGACCTGATCTGATATTTGGGCTGACAGGGCAACCCCATGTGGATCTGGGGGAACAGTGCTTGAGGGACAGGACAGAGCACTGCACTGGATGTGACCGCAGCTCGGGAGAAGGTTGAGTCGCAGGAGCAGGTGAGTGGAGCTTGCAGCTTAGAACACAGACAGCGGCTCGCTGGGCAGCAGCTTTGGCTGAGGGGAGCAAGACGGGAATCCATGTAAGAGCACTGGGAAGGTGAGGGGTCAAGGCAGGAAGCTAAGGAGATGTTTACACTACCAGCAGAGCCAGGACAGTGACAATGCCATCCCTCCCCTGTGACACCAGGTCCCACAGCTGGTGCCTAGACACCTGCAAGAGACCCAAGGCTGGTACCGCTTCCCCCTGGCTGGCACTGGTGGCAGCTTCCTGGGATGACACAACCCATCCCGCACTTCACACAGTCCTGTCTGCCTTCTTTCCAGTTCCTTTCAAAGTGTGTGTCAGAGCCAGATCACACCTCCTGCTGAGGTGTGACCCTGTCTTAAAAGACTCTGCCTAACCTGAGAGATGGTACAGAGGGTTTAAGATGATGGGAAGCCAAAAGGAAAGACCAGAGTCCAACAGGAAGGCATGAAGAAACAGTAAGGGGCATTCACAATAACTACTGTTGTGACTGACTCAGAAACAGAGTTCGTGCAAAGTACAAAAAGGTGAACCTTTCTCAACTACGCCGTCGTGACTCCCCCTTAATCCACTCTACTTTGGTACCTTCTCTGGGTCCTATTTGAAACAGGACCCAGACTCAGAGGGCTGAATCACACAAGAGCATCCTCTTTGTAGGTCAAAACCAGCCTAGCGTGGGTGGGGTTATGATTCAATATATGCCATTGTAGACACCTCACTGAATTCCTAAAGATGTGGTCCAAGGGATTAAGGAATAATTTCCAAATCTTCAAATATCAGGAGAATCATCACACAGCAGAGCTTCTGATTCCAACTTAGAAACCCATGCTGATCACCCTGGCACAAAGGTGTGCACACATCAATTCACTCCCTGACACTCCTGTGTGTCACACACATTAACCACTGAGGGAGGAGATCAAGAGGCAGCGTCCAATTGGTGAGAATTATCTAAAGTGCAACAGACATAAGAAAAGGGCTTCAGCTGGCAGATACAAAAGTAACAGGCAGCTGACCCATTCTTTGTATCAACATTTACTTGTGTATATTTTTTGATATAATAATCTTACTACGAAGTGAGTCAATGGAACATTTTTCATGTTACTAGTTTTCATTACTAAAGGTTTTGACCTAATGGTTTTCATTATTCACTGGATCTGAAAACTCTGATAAGAGATATTTGTAAAATAATATTTGGCACATTTAACTTCTATTGGTTGTAGTTTCTTAGTATTTTCTAGGTATATGGATATATATTATATATTTTCTGAGTATATAGAAACAGCAAAAAGGAAAATGTTTTTTCTGGAAATAATTTCTCAATAAGGATTTATGCTTCTACTATTAGTAAAATCTACTGCTTAGCCAGAGTATTAGGTAATGGTTAGAAGGATATCATTTTTGAGATAAGAGTTTTTGCTAATGTGAAAAATATGTCAGTTCTCATCTATGGTAGCTTATACACTGGAAGAGAAGCTTATGAATAACTAAAGAGATTACTCAATTCTTTGTAATAGCATGGAAATTCCTTCAAGCACTAAATTAAAAAAAATCACACGAAGACATCAGACATCCTTCAAAAGCGCTTCCTATATAATATAATTTATCTCATAACTGAACAGAAAGTTGTCTGGAAAAACAACTTCTTTAAAATATATTTTAAATACTAGGAACCTCTGCTATATACAAAAGAACACTGGAACAAATAATTTCATAAAAAAGCAATAGTTTGTATTCCCTGTAAATATAACTTTTGCTTCTTTAGCTTTTCCATATATATATTTACTTTTGTACAGGAGATTTTCTTCAAATGAACTCTTAAAAATTGTAGTAGAAATAGGGGCTAGGGATTTAGCTCAGCGGCATAAAGCACCTGTCTTGCGAGGAGGTGGTCCTGAGTTCAATCCCCGGTACTGATAAAAAAAAAAAAAAAAAAGAAAGAAAGAAAGAAAGAAAGAAAAAGAAACATTAAAAAAAAATTGTAGTAGAAATAATTTAGGGCCAGGGATTTAGCTCAGCATTATAAGTGCCTGCCTGGCAAGCACAAGGTCATGAGTTTAATCCCTGGTACCAAAAAAAAAAAAAAAAAAAAAAAAAGAAATAATATATACTTAAATTGTGAAGTTATCAAAAGTTATCTCAAAGTAAATTATAACTTCAATTTTAATAAACTCATATATTTTAAGTTGTGCACCTCTTTTGCAAAGCCCCTTTTCTTCTCCTTGATGTTTTTCCCTTTTTACAAAACTGTGAGGAATGTTCACATGGTAGCGTGATCTCAAATTTGAGAATAATCATGATTATATATAAAAAGTAATGATCATTTACTAAATTAAACCGTTCTAATATATTTTTAAAATTATACAGTACATCCTAATTGTATGGTCACACTGTGTATATAACAGAACTAGTACAGTGGATTTTAAAGACTGATTTGTGAGTAAACAATACACAGAAAGCAATTTCTTTCCATGGTTTCCAGCTTTCTAATACCACTGTAAGTTACTGTAAAAATGTTACTTATGATATAGCAAATCTCAACGAGATTTGAGAGTCCCTTTTGATCACTTAAACTTTAAATAAATAAATAAATGGCTTTCTACCATTTTTGTCATTTCTGTGCTGTTACAATTTGAAGGATTCCTGTCTCCACATGCTGTCTAAACTGCTTCCTCATAGACAGCTTTGGAAAAGTGATTTCAAATAGACTTCAAAATAAAGACTGGCATCATGGTGACACCAATTGCAATGTTAAAAGTTTATACTCATCATTTTAAATAGGTATTTCCAATTGACTACTGGGTAACGCTGTCAAACATGATTTTAAAGCACTTCATTCTTAAAGGCAGGTCTTTAAAATTGCACTTTGATAGAAAACACGACATTCATTCCGGCATGGGCAGCTTACAGAAAATCACACTATGTGTTCTATCAGCAGCCGGGTCACCTGCACTCTTGGGAGCCCTGCCTCTGCCCAATAGCACAACCAAAGAGGCCATAATGAGTCCTTTTTCAGTCTCCTTGTAACAACTAGTGAGTTCAAGGGAACTGTTACGAGTTCTGGACAAGAATTTAGAAGATTATAGAATACCGGGGTGGGGTTTAATGCTCATGCAGAGGTTTAGGTACCAATGTAAATAAGGTAAGGCTAAATGTTCTTTCAATTAAACTTAAGTTGACATCACATATGTTTTTCACTGATTTACCTATTAAAATATATT